TTCCTCCTGACGAAAATCAAGTAGTTTTCATAAGAGTTCTAAAACAACGTATTTTAAACTTATCATTTCAACCTTTTTCTTAAAAAAATTAAATAAAACTCAACTTTATTTTGTTCAAGCTTGCATTTGCTGTAATAACCCAAATTGAGGAACATTCNCATGACCATTTCAAATATTGGACATGAAATGGATATCTAACAGACTTGGAATGGATACCCTTCAGTGGATATCCGTTTAACACCCATAAGGTATCCAAATAATATATATCTTATGACCATCCAGGTAGGTGAGCTACCGATGTTTATAAGAAATATTTTGGAAATGCGTTGGTGTGTTATCTGAGGTAGTAGTCTTATATTTTGGTTTTCGTTGAATATTTTTTTATTAGTCAATGGGCTATGCGATCGATTTTTAGCATACCATCTGTGAAATGAATGTTACGTCATCTTAACCATTCTCTCATCTCATCTTTCCACGAGGACATATTTGGGCCCTTTTCATACTGAAAATTGTGGTAGGTATGCGGCATTGTGTTTAATCAAAATGTTTTTTTCTGGAAGATTGGGAATAAACATTTCTTGCAACCAACCACTTTTTTGTAATTGTCGTAATTCATTTCGCTGCGATAGCCGCCCCTTTTGAAATTGGTGCAAGCAACTCTTCATTCAAATCATCATTCCAACTCTTCTCATGTGTATATGAAGCATGGATATATATTTTATCCTTATAAATCAATGTTCGACATTCTTCACGGTATTTCTTCATGTCTCTGAGAAAATGTCTTCGCAACTGATGAATCTTCGATTTTTCCACAAGCAATTTTCATTTTTTTTTTTTTCGCTTTACTCCATCTGAACCTTATTTTTCTCATCACTTTCCTCAGAGACTCATGCGATCCGTTGTAACCATTGGACACTTTGGACACTTTGCTCCGATCGTCTTTAAGAGTATTTTACCACGCGCATCTTCAATATCAAATACATTTTAAACTTTTGACCATTACACTAAAAACTATGAATTCATTTTGTAGTAGTAAATTAATTAATATCAAATTCATCTTTCATTATTTTGGAACTTATGTATTCGAAGCTAAAGCCAAGTCAAATTGGTCATCTTCATAATACCAGTTCTATGTGCAGTGCAAATCGGACTCAAGACTGGAGCTAAATATAGAAGTGGAACCTCTGGCGTACAATAAATCCATAACAAGCACTTTTCCTAACCAAATACCAGAACTGCAACACTTTTTCCGACGCTCATTTCACCAACAAAATTGGCGATTTGGCAGAAAACTATTCACTCGGAGGATGGCAACAGAGCGATTGGCGCCAAGAAAAACGTTGAACGTCTGCATAAAAACCTCCATCTGAGTACGTGTATTTAAAAATGTATAACCACAAAAAGAGGTCGGGCGTCTGCGGTCCAAAGCTATATTTTCGACAGCATGATTAGACGGACAACCGCACGTTTGCCATGTCCGACCGCAAATTTCTTGACCGCAACTACATACATAATTTTTGAGCGTTTTATGCCGTTCGACTGCAAACCGCACAACTGCACGTGCATAAAAGACGTCTTAGGCCTCTTTTATGCACGTGCAGTTGTGCAGTTTGCAGTCGAACGGCACAACGTTCGACGTTTCGGTGTGGTGCCGTCACTACCTTTTTATGCAAGTTGCAACCGTTCATGCGGCTGGTGGATATATTAGTACAGTGCTGTCAGACAAGAGAAATAGAATGGATCCGTGTGCGTGTTACATTATTTATTAATATATCGCAAAAAGCAAAGAAGACAAAGACGGTGGACTGTTCATCCTATTAATAGAACACGATCTATCGATGGGGCCTTCCGAAACTTGTACATAAAGTTAAGAGAGGATCGACAAAAATTATTCAACTATTTTAGAATGTCTATTCAATATTTTGACGAGCTTGCTATAAAAATAAGAGAAACTATCAGACGTCCACCGGAATTGGTGCAAAGTTTATTGTTTTCACCAGAAGAAATGTTGACAATTACTTCGAAATCTGGATAAAATGTCAGACAAATTTCCATCCACAGATTCTTTTTGATATTCCTATCTTTATTTTATAATCTTCGGGCGATACATCCCAAATAGCTGTCCGACATCTGATTTCCTCAATAAACTGTTCTGCCTTGATGACTGTTTAAAAAAATCTGTTTGAAATCTGTTTTTCCGTTAATCAGCTGCCGCCCCCATACTAACGACAATTCTCAGAAGTTGAGAAACTTGTGCAAGCTAAGGACTAACGAGGTCTTACCTTTCAATGTGTGATTCTTAACACGTTCCTAACTCATTTTGAAAACTATTCACTCGGACTCGGGGGATGGCAACAGAGCGAATGACGCCAACAAAAACATTGAACGTCTACATAAAAACCTCCATCTGGGTACGTGTATTTGAAGATGTATAAACACAAAATGTGGTCGGGCGTCTGCGGTCCAAATATATATTTTCGAAGGCATGGTTAGACGAAGAACCGCACGTTTGCCACATCCGACTGCAAATTTCTTGACCGCAAATGCATAAAAGGAAGCACTTTTTCCTAATATATAATTTTTGAGCGTTTTATGCCGTTCGACTGCAAACCGCACGTGCATAAAAGAGGCCTTATAATGGGCCGAGAGCTGTGGCTTCCTTGCGATCTGAAATTTGGGACGCCGCCAGAACAAGATACTGCGAGGGAAGACTATGTCGGCAGAGAATGGACGACATCCATGAACGAGTCCGTCTGAACATCCGAAGTGCCAGCAATAGGATGAAAAAGGCCTATGACATCAAGGCGAATGCTGGAGAATATGAAACCGGTGACCTAGTTTGGCTACCGAATCCATAAGCCACCTCGAGAAAAGCCTAGGGTCGTCCATTTCAATAGATTGGCTCCTTATGCTGGAAATCACGACCAAGTTCGCGCCCTCAGACCACCAGAGNATAAGCATCGCGGGTGCAACCTGTTGGGTCCCAGTTGATTACGCACTAGCTCACTGCGTGGCAGAGGATCTCCAAATGTCCAGAGGTATCGCTGTGGTATTCAACAAGAAATTCGATCAGCTTCAAACATTACGAGAACAAAATCGTGAAGTCGAAGGAGTGCTACAGTTAAAGAAGGGTCAGAGAAACGTTTTCAACTTGGTGACCAAAAAGCATTCTCGAAACAAACCGTCTTATGAAGATGTCTGGAGGAGTCTTACCAGACTGAGGGACACGATGCTCGACCAGAATCTCGTGGACTTGGCAATATCGAAATTAGCCTATGGGCTCGACAGCCTGGATTGGAGAATTGTGAGAAGCATGTTGGAAATGATCTTCAGATCCAGCGGTATCAAGATTTTGGTGTGCAGTAACCATCTTCCACGACCGAGCATGAAAACTGTGGAGTATTACTTCCATCAAACTTCACAGTGCAGACATGGGGAGTCCTGCAGGTATCGACACAAGGATGACATGAACTATTAAATAATTATTATATCCGCGGACCGATTTGTCTGCAAGTGACATATGGTTTTGTGAAAAGTAAACTCGTCTGAAACTGTAATATTGCATGACTAAAGAAGTTTTTCCGTAATTTGCTTTCGAAAGATAATAGCCGCCCGTAGGCATCGTCTCAAGTATCTGAAAACCTAGGTTCGATGGAACAAAATGCGAGAGAGATGATATCTACCAGATTTTTTTAATGGTTTCACAAAATATTTTATGGTTTTACATATTTTATCTTCAGGGGTCATCTTACAAATTCTTGGCACTTCTATTATTCAAAAACATTTGAAGTGGAAGTCAAGCGAAGGACCTCGATAACAATGCAGAGAAGTGAATTAGAAATCGGATAACTGGATATAGTGCCTACGAGAAGCCAATAAGAAATAGTGTGAAATGCAGTGGGTTTCACCTGGTTTTCGAGGAAGGTATTCACTTCTAAAAGTGACAGGGAAAGTATCCGCACCTAAGAGAATATCGATCTCATTTAATACATGAGAGGATCTGCAAGATTTGAATTCAATATGCGAGACCAGTTGCTATTATCGATATTATGATTAGCTAGATGTAACAAGTATAACTACGAACTTAATTGTCAGTGTGTTGAAACATCATCTACATGCTTCGACCATTCACCACTGCCATTGATAAAAACTAAGGGAATGTATAAATTTGATGCTCAGCATTAAAAACTGAGCATGAATTGAAGGGGTTATATTTTTAGGAGTGAATAATTTTTGGGAACGAAAGTTTTTGGCTTTCTACTACTCCATCTTGATACAAAAAAATGTGGAATCTTCCAAAGAAAGTAAGTTATCAATTTGAAAATAAGTAACTCTATACATGGATGTGTAGATCATTCAAAAAAGTAACAGCTACTTTCATATAAACATTGAACATTTTTCTGAAAGAATTTTTTTTCTTTCGTGTAATTCAATGTTTATATGAAAGTAGCTGTTTTAGGAGGGCTTTCTTCCAGTTTGTGTCTGAAAGTTACTTCTTTGCATGATCTACATATCCATGTATAGAGTTACTTATCTTCAAATTGATTACTTACTTCCTTTCTTTGGAAGATTCCCACATTTTTTTGTATCAAGATGGAGTAGTAGAAAGCCAAAAACCTTATTTCTCAAAAACTGAGCATATAGTGGGTTTCACTTCAACACGAAAGATATTCTGGACTGAAATTGGGAGAAGAACCTTTGGGTGGAGTGTGTAATTTGATTCAATATTTTCATGTTTTTTTTATAGCAGTTCACTGGTCTACCCAAGCACTGCATTGTTTGCAACAAACTCGTAAAGTGAATCATGAGTGCGAATAGCATCAGATCCAAGATCAATTTTGAATTTAGAGGTGTTGATAAACCTGAATTTTCTCAAATTTTGAGAATCAGCATTGTTTCCAGAAAATTTGGAGGTATTTTCCAAATCAAAATAGTGAGCGTTCGATAACAGTCTTGTTGTTTTCATATATACAAATTCAACAGTACTTTTAAATCCATAATTAAAAATGTTTTTTTTTCCACAATTTATTTGAACAAAAAGGTGGGTGGATTACAAAATGGTTAAATTTATAGAATCTAGAACCTCAATTTCTGGAAAAACCATTTGTGTTTTCCTTGCTTGTATCTCTCTTCAAATTTAACTCTGGTTTGGAACCTAATCTTCTTCCTCTTCACTGGATCCTTGAGGTCTTTGGGCGCCACTTTCAAGTCCGAAGTCAAATCCACTGAATATCTTGTAGGCATCAAATGGTTATAGTTGAGCACCTGCAAAAAAGGGCATTTTAAATAAACAGGAATGACTATAATTATGAGTGAAGTCTTGTAAACCAAAGTGTATTATTGGAATATAAATCTAAAACAGATGTATCATTGGAATATAAATCTAAAATCTATGGGTTGTGTTCTCACAAAGAATATGAATTATCAATCACCAATCTCAACAATACTGTAAAACATGCTTAGATACGTTTAAAAAAAATGTCAATAACATCTAAGTTGTTCAACTGATCTGTTTGTTTCTGTTTAAAATCTGTTTTTCCGTTAATCAGCTGTCGCCCCCATACGAACGTCAACTCTCAGAAGTTGAGAAACTTGTGCGAGCTAAGGACTAACGAGGTCTTACCTTTTAACGTGTGATTCCTAACACGGACTAAATTAGGACAGCTAAATAATCTATTTTGAAGTTTGAAGAGAATATCAACAATATGATTGAAATATCAGTGAAAACTGTTATAAGATCAATATCTTCGTGCACGTGCAGAATTATTAGTATTGAAAATATTTTGATGAAATTTGGTATACCACCATTTGAGACGGTGCCCAGTCCAAATGTGAAGTTAAATTGTTCCTAAAAAAATCGCCAATACGATTTCATGTAGAAAGAAAATGATATTTGGTCCCAAAGTAGTTTTTGAGCTCTACATATCAAAATAAAGTTAGAAATGAAGCTTTCTATGTCTTTACTACTCATATTTATAACTAATGTTACTGCTGTTTCGTCCTATGAGGATATTTTCAAACTTATACATTAAACTAAAAATGATTGATTACATTATCTCTTATATAACACCATAATAACAGGTACTTGCCTTAATTGAGTACCCGCATTTTGTTTACCTGTGACAATGCGGATACACACTATGCAATGAAGGGTTGCAAACTCAATTATTTGGAATCCTTGGAAATTCATAAGCATCGCGGGTGCAACCTGTTGAATGATCAAATCGATCAAGTTTACTCACCGGTTTTCAAATTGAAGTATCCACATTGTCACAGGTAAACAAAATTAAGTTACTCAATTAAGTTAAGTACCTCTGTTATTACTTACAGTGGTGTTATCTACATCCATCAATATATCAAAATAAAGTTTTTCGAAATCGGAGAAAAGATGCAAATTTTAGGGAGGTGTCTTGCTTTCATGTGGGTCACACTGTATATTTGCATGAATTAGATATTTTCATGAAAAACTTTGCAGCATTTATTTTTTCACATTTATTTTTACCACAAAAAGTGGTCAAGAACCAGCATGAAAGACAATACAGAAAAATGTACTGCCCTTTGTGCAGCAACAAAAACAAAACAGATTAAATAACTTTAGAACACTTTTGGTGAGAAAAAAAAATTGAAAAGAGGTAAATTTTTTATTCAAAGGGTCATCTTTCTATCATACTTGTCCTATCCCCCTCGGTGATCTTCACTCATATAATTTGAATAGAGAAAGTACAGTTGAGACACATCATTGAAAAGGCAAAGTCGTAAGGAATTCATCCATGTATCTGTTCACTATGTAACTTTTCATTTTCTCACCCTCTTGCGAGAAAAACTTCGAATTTTAAATTATGATACTTCATTTGTAAGATAAAAAAAATAACAAATATTGAAAAAAAATGTACACGGTATGAACCAAAAAAGGGAAACTATGCATAATTAAAAAAAAAAACTCAAAACTACATCATTTCACATAGATATTCGATGCCCTAACTGTTTTCCATTAACTGCCATAGATAAGAATAAGTTAGTCTCGAAACACCTTTTATTTACATGCAAGCCCATTTAAAATATGGATTACAATGTTGAATTATAATCAAAATAAAATCAGATAAGGTACTGAATTACAAATTCCAACTAAGAATAGCTCAAAAGGGGTAAATTCAAAGTTTAAAAAGGGGTTAATTTTAGAGTATAAAACGACAAAAAACAATGATCAACAATAAAACATATACTACCATAAACTATACAGTAAAACATTAAAGCACAGTATTCCGTAATTGAGTTTTAAAATGATGCAAGTTGTTAAACATCTCAAGATCAACCTTACCATTGGCTAATCGTAAGATTCTTGGAATACAGCTATTGAATGTGTGGTTGTAACTGATTTCACACTCGACTGTGAATTTTGGTAAAATATCCTTTTTTTTTTTTTTGGTCTTTCAATACATTCGCAGATATATGTACAATAGTGAACACAAACATTGTTTTGAAATATTTTGGTTTCAACAAGTACATTAACCCTAATAAAACTGAAAACTGCTTGGAATTACAAATAGATATAACTGAAATACAAAGTTTTTTAAATGCGGAAATTATAAACCAGCAAAAAACGTACCCCATCCAATAAACGGATCATTATTTCTCTTAGTTCCAATTTTTCACAGAGGTATCAGTTGTCAAAATTCAAAATATATGATACTTTCTAGGGATCGTTTTCATTATTACTAATATTTGGGGGGGCAGATTTTCCTATTATTATTGGTGATTCACCATGACTGGAGCCGATTTGAATTATCTGAGGACAATATTTAGGCCCAAAAATATGCCTGGTATTTATTTTCATGTTTATTGTGTTTATAAAACCCGCACTGCAATAAATAATGAAAGATAATATGTTAAAAATTGTTTTTTGAGAAATAAAGAGTTTGGATTTCCACCTGTCCATCTTTATACAAAATAGTGTGGGACTCTTCCAAAGAAAGGAAGGAAGCAATCAATTTAAAAACAAGTAACTCTATAAAAAGATGTGTAGATCATGCAAAGACGTAACTTTCAGACTCAAACTGAAAAGAAAAGTACTCTCGAAAAAGGTACTTTCATATAAACATTGAATTACACAAAATAAAATTACTTTCTGAAGAAATGCTTTTATAAGGAAAGTACAATAAAGAAATTGTCTTAATCTTATTTTTTGTGTTCTGCTTGAGCCCTTTGACTGTTATATGAAAAAAAAAATGTTTCTGTGCAAAACTTTTCAACATTTAGCCCATTTCAGGACGTTCTGAAGCTTCCCTGAAAATTTCATCAAAATCAGGTACTATAACCATATTCTACACTTTCCCGTAATTTCTGTGTAATTCAATGGTCATACTTAAAGCTCCTATTTGAAACATATATGCATGCTCTGAACTTCTTTGTAAAACAAATTCCCTGTATAATAATTAAAGCAAATATCAGGTAAGACTAAACTCTCAAACACTTATTTATCAAACCTAAAAAAAGTTACCTTAAGGAAGGGCTTGATTTTGGACCTCTTGTGCATTTTTCCTTTGCCCATACGTTTGTGGATTTTTCTAGGGTACCTATCGATTCCAGCCACCACGGCATGTCCATATTGTTTATCTGACGTCCCATCATCGTAATTTTTTATGACTACTGCTTTTCTTCCAGCGTATCGGCCTCCAAGGACCAATACGACTTTACCAGATTTCATTATTTTACCCATTTTGATCTGAAAATAAAAATGTTCATAACCTAAAAAATTACTATCACTGTATACAAATTTTGCTAAAATAACTATGAAATCAGATGGCAATTAAGAAATAATTACTATATTCAATAAATATGTGAAAGATTAGTTATACTTTTTGATGATGTTTAAAGATTTTACAAAGATTTACTTACAACGACCACAACAGGCCCACTCCAAATAATAAAAGAAAAATGAAAAATCGATCTAGTTCGGTTCTACTTTACCGAGGAACCGAAGGAGAGAAAATATATTATTTATTCGAGAGAGAGCAGCACTGCAGTAACTACTTCAAACTAAATAACCAAGATGTCGCTGTGTGTCTTATTTTTGAAGGATAATGAATGATTCCAGTACCCCTATTCAGTGTTGCCACTATACAATTTTCGGGTCTAAATCGACTGACATTTTCTAGGCCTTTTTTGGAATAATTTTAAGTCAGAACAGATATATTTTGTAATTTTATAGATTCCTGGATGTTCCCGGATATATGAATCGAAGTATTAAAGTTGATATGGACAAAAATAAAAAATCATAGGGAATTTCACTTTTTAGATTGTTCAATTGTTCGAAACCTGTCGCACCTATATATGTTTACCTGTTGTTACAAATATAGCATTCAGTGTTCATTATTATTACCAGAGGATGTTCCAGGTGCACTATTGAAAGACAATTTATTGATTGAAGACCATTCAGTTGAAGAACTCCAAAGATGATTATACTTTTTCCATTAGAACGACCCTGTTCTACTGAATACAATAAACAATAAGTGAATACAACAATTAAATGTTTTATGGTATATGTGACGGTAAACTGACAGGATCACCACTATTGAACAACGAACAAACTTAAAATTCCCTAGGATTTTTTATTTTTGTCCATATCAACTTTAATACTTCGATTCATGTATCCGGGAACATCCAGGAATCTATAAAATTACAAATTCTATCTGTTCCGACTTTAAATTATTCCAAAAAAGGCCTTGAAAATGTCAGTCGATTTAGACCCGAAAATTTTATAGTGGCAACACCGAATAGGGGTACTGGAATCGTCCATTCTAGACATGCACTAAATAGTGGTTTCACCTAAGACAGATAAGATAGATGTCTAAAAAAATAAATGTTGATATAAGTTCTAGAGAGAAATGTGCATTTGTTTGAGGTTAAAAAAAAAATTCATTTCGAGTTTAAAAATAAATGTTTATTTAGGCAATTAAAGTTTAAAAATACATATTATTTTGATTTGAGGTTTAGAAATGAATATTGATTTGAAGTTTAAATGCTTTATTTCATCAGCTTTATTCAACACATTAATTCTTCACAGGATTTCTTTGACTTATAATATAACAAATCTCCCATAAGAAGTCTTTCAGTTCTATGTCCTGTCGTGTAGGCAAGAAAATAGACATACTCGAACCGAATATATTCGGCACTCCGAATACGCTGAATACCGAATACCAAATATTCGGCGCATCACTAATTAATAATAAGAAAGATGCATAAAAACCCAGGTGTTTTCATCGATTTTCCAAGAAAAAATCTGTTGAGTGAAGCGATCTAATTTGGCACTCGAATTTGTATTAAACGAACAAACCTATTTTAGGAAAACTACTGATTGGGCAGGCAGGGCCGTAGCGAAGAAAAACCAGGGGGGGAGGGAATCCAAATTTTCCCAACCCCATCAACAAAATTTCCTAACTTACGAAAAAATGAAAGCCGAGGGATTAGTTTTACTACTAGAATATATTAACTTTCTTACTTAGCTATCCAAATATTGGCTAAATGCCTATGCCCGTTAGGGTATGCACAAACAAAAATACATTTTGGTAATTATAAAAATAATAATGGGAATTATTCTACTTTGGACCAAGGTCCTTGGTCTCAATAATAATAATAATAATCTCTGTCAAGATGGTTGTTCTGATTATTGGAGTCACCCATTTGTTTTATATGGATGATCTTGAACTTTATGCCTCTGGAGAGAAGGATCTCCATCAGTCCTTGAGGGTGACGGAAGAGTACACGCATGCTATCGGTATGAAATTCGTGATAGACAAATGTGCAATGGTACATCTCAAAAGAGGACGATGCGGGGACTACGGAGAGGATGTGCAGCTCGTAGATGGAAGCATCTTACACCATCTGGATACTGGAGAGACGTATACTTACCTCGGGGAGGAACAATGTCACTCACAAGAAGTAACAGCAGTGAAAAACTCTCTTCGCGGCAAGTATCAGCACAAACTTCGACAGATCTGGTCACCGGAACTGTCGGGGAAGATCAAAGTAACAAAGTTGCTGCAACAAATATGCTTGCCGTTCCAATCTTACTCTACTCGTTTAGAGTAGTGAAGTGGACCCGGGAGGAGCTGTATCAACTCGACGTAAAGACCCGAAAAATGATGCATCTCTATAGGAGTTTGCATCCCAAATCGTCCGTTCCACGGTTGTACTTCCCCCGACAACAGG